GATGCAGGTCAAAGGGTACAAATTTTCAGTTATAATAAGTTCTGAGGCTCTAACGTATAACGGGTTCTCAAATCACATCATTTCATGTTGATGAGATACCATAGGAACTTAACTCTTGTTTATATCAATTAGCCTGTGGTAAAATCGGTTTCACTACAAGTTGTTTCATTTCAAGTCTCAGAACCTATAGACAAGTCTAGATGAAGACGTGCTGTACAGCATGGTAACGAAAGTTAATAACAAGGTATTATATATTTGAAAGTTGCTGAGAATAAATCTTAAGCATTCTCACCAGACACAAAAAAAAGTTAACTATGTTAACTATGTGAGGTGAAGGATGTGTTAACTATCTTGATTTTGGTAATTATTCTAAAATATATTTATATCTATATCAAATCATTACTTTGTACTCTTTAAATATATACAAGTATATTTGTCAATTATTCCTCATAAAGTTAAAAAACAAAGGATATCATCCATTTAGAGATCTAAAATAAGAAAAGTTTAGGTGAGACGTTAAGCTAAAAAACTGATTTCTAATGTACTTATGGGACATTTTCATACTGTGCTAAGAATGAAGATTTCTTTCAAAAGAAAATATAATATTAATTTTTAAAAATTACATAAGTAAATGTAAATTCCATTGGAGAAATTAAAAGTTTTATGTTTTCATTTCCATCATTTTGAAATAGTATGTAAATAATTGATCCATAAATTTCTTTCACTGACCCTCTTCCTTGCAACAGTAATTTAAAAAACATATTAAATCTCTCAGGATAAACAATTAATTTGAAGTATAAATTACAGTGCTCTTCTCATATTCCATACACGTATACTCATATCTATCATAAAACAATACTCAAATTGCATATGATGGTACTCAAATTGCATATGATGGCAACCAAACGTAGTATTTATTTGAATTACTTATTTTATTTTTTTAAATCACTTATTTTAAACAGGTAGAATTTTTTTTTTTCATTTTTCTTTATCACAAAAACTTTTCCTACTTATCTTACTACCTAAGGAGTAATTGTCAACAATATATGTCATAAATATGTCATAAATTGACCTATAATAGATAACATGTATATGGAATTGTTAAAAGTATGGCCTTTGGAGCCAGGACAGTCACAGTTTCATATTCAGCTACACCGTTTGTCAGTCATGCACTTCAAGGTAAATAGCTTTATATCCCTAAGCATCAGTTTCCTCACCTACAAAAAGAGATAAAATACCTCAGAAGGTTTTTGTGAGTATTAAATGAGATAAACTATATACATTATTTATCACAGTGTCTGGCAAACAATAAGCAATTAAGCGATAATTTTATTGGCTTCTCTCCCTAATATTTTTGTTGTTGTTAATGTTAAACTTTCATTTAAAATGTAAAAATATTTTATTAATCTTAAAATCTCTTTATGAAGACTATCCTCTCCCATTTATTCATATATTTATTGAGCTCTTGATAGTACACTAGGTGCTGGAGAACAAAAATTAATAAGAAACCACCCCAGACTTCACGGAACTTTTAATGATAAAGGAAAAGTAAGACAATTAAATGACTGCAATGCAATAAAGGTTATCACAGAAGAGCCTAAAAGGTACCTGTAAATAGAGAGATAAAGACAGCCAAACCCGCCCAAGATGTACTGTTTCTCAGAAGAAGAAATGCTGGACTGAATCAAAATTAACATTTTACCAGGGAGAGAAAGGGATCTGGAGCACAGAGAAAACAGCATCTGCAAAGTATGAAGGCTTGAGAGAAGCTGGTGGATTAGAGAAGAGCAAACAATTTTTTTTTTTTTTTAACGCCTACAGCATCTAGTATACCTACATGGTCTCCCACCCAAGTACTAACCAGGTCTGACCCTGCTTAGCTTCCAAGATCAGATGAGATCAGGCACATTCAGGGTGGCATGGCCGTACGAAGAGCAAACAATTAAATATAGCTTTTTCACAAAGCTATCAGAAAGTTAATCTTTCCCCATCTTTTTGTTGCTCAAGTTACTTCATTCAAAAAATAAATACGCTATTAATTTAGTGCCTAACTTTGTAAGCTTTCTGCTCAGTTCTGTGGGAGAGCAGGGATTAATCAGACTCAGATTCTGTCTTAAAGTAGGATATAGTCTAATAAAAGAGAACAAAAGAAGTTTTTTAAAAAAATTATAAAAAGTGTCACATGTCTCTAAAGAGATAAAATTAGAGCGGTGTGGCTATTTTCCCAAGGGAAATAATATTTACAGAGAGGGGTATAGGGGAAAAACAGATTAAGGATTCATGGGAGAGTTCATATTTGACCTGCAGACCTTATTTCTCATAAGGAAAAAATTAATTATCCGTCAGCTCAAGGCTAGGCAATGTGCTAGGCACTTTACATATTACACAACTCTGAAAGAAAAAAATACTTATGGAGGCTTATCTGAAAGCAATATACTTCATCCACATGAACTAATACTCCCCATTCATTCACTGATCTATTAATCACTTTACTCCTTCTCAGCAGTCCGGATGCACCTACAGAATCCTTCTCAACAAAGCATACCAGGCAACCACAGCCAGTAGCTCAGAGTTAGCACATAAGAGAAAAGCCCTCACACTTCACTATTTTAAATCTGAAACAAATTCTTGAATTAGATAAAATGAAAGTTGCATATGTCAAATGAATTGTTTCAAGTGGTAAGTGAACTGCTTTAACAAAAATGCCCGTTAGCATTACATTGAAGGATGTTACAAAATACACCCCTATGAAATATATTGCTGTAAAAACCACAGGGATATTGTTGAGGATGCTGTTCATCACATTTCAGAGTATGCTTTAGGAAGCCCAATAGGGAGAATTTCTATTAGATTTCAGTACCTGTTTATTTTTATCTCATGGACATTGTTTTTCTCTTGGAACTGGCTGCCAGAAAACTCATAGTTAAATTTGTAATCTACCTATATCAAATTTATGGATCTCACAGCATGCATTTTATGTATTCATACAGCTAAATTTTCTTCTGCTATTTCTCCTTTCTGAAATTTCCTCATTATCTATTTTTTAAATAGTATTTTATAAATATTTTGGTGAAATGGCTGAATTTTTTAAGCAATTAAAATATTTCTTTTAATTTTTCTTTAATGAAGATATAAGATAGGCATCATTCACCATTAAAAGATGAAAAAACCATGGCTCTGTTTTCAATTCAGAATTTGAACTGCAGTCTGACTCCAGAGGATGTCATTTAACCACTCTACTATATTGCAAGACTTATGTACTGCTTGTACAGATCCAGTTGACATAAATAATCATTTATACATTTGGGGGGAAATATGAATTATCATTTGGTTACTTTGTGGGTAGATTGGGCAATTTATGTACCAAACTTTTCAGAAAGGAATGGAAAAAGATAAGTATAGTTAAGGAAAAGATGTTCTAGGAAAGGAATCTGGATTATTTCATACTATAGGTAAACCAAAACAACACATAATCTTTAAAATGAGGATAATTCCTACTCTCACAGAGTTATTTGTGTAAACAGCCTCCATGTCTTTGCTTGAGGTATAAAGAATTCAAAAGGCATTTTCTAGGCACCAAGTATATCCTGGACTACACAACAGTAGTTGATTCAAAGAAAGAAGACATTGTTCCTAATGATGTGGACAGTGTTCATATTTGACAAGAAGGACACTATAATACTGTGCTATGGGTTGAATTATGTCTCCCCAAAATTCATATGTTGAAGTCCTAACTGCCAGTACCTCAGAATGTGACCTGACTAGGATATAGGATCTTTACAGAGGTAATCAAGTTAAAATAAGGTCATTAGAGTGGGCCCTAAACTCAATATGACAAGTGTTCTTATTTTTAAAAAAGGTGGGGGGAGATATTTAGAGACAGATGTGCACAGAGAGAACCCGATGTGACAATGAAGGCAGAGATTAAGGTGATGTTCTACAAACAAAGAAACAACAAAGATTTCTAGCCAAACACCAGAAGCTAAAAGAGAGGCATGGTACAGACTCTTCCTCAAACACCCTTAGAATGAACCAAAGCTGCCAACACTTTAATCTCACACTTCTACCCTCCAGAACTGCAAGACAATAAATTTCTGCTGTTTAAGCCACTCAGTTTATGGTTCTATGCTATGGCAGCCCTAGAAAACTAAAACAACATGGAATAAACAAAGAGCAACACCCTGCATAAACAAGTTTTCAATTGTTGATATAAACAACCAATGTTCTTAGGGTTCAGAGAACTGGCATGTCCATTCAAACACATAACACACACATACACCATACACACACACATACACACATGCATACACATTACTAAGAAACAAAAACAACTGATTATTTTTAAAATAAAAGTATCTTAAATTAAAAATTATCATTCTCATTAATATTTTCAACATATTCTGAATACCTACTATGTGCTATTCAGAGTAAGAGGCTCAGCATATAAAGAATTTAACAAGATACAATCCCTACTAGATAGGAATTTACAATCAAGTCCTGACCTCCCCTTTTAGAATACCCAAAGCATATGTTCATTATGATGCCATATTACTTTTGCTGTCTTGTTTGTGTTCAATTGAATTTGTTCTCTCATTACTTCTTTATAGAGAAGTATCCTGTCTCACAAAGATTAAGTTCTGTGAGCATGTCATACTGAACCAGATACATGGTAGACATTCAAAAATTAATGATTTATATAGTCAAATTATGTCCATTTTGTCCCAAAATAAATTAAATCTGGATAAGTACTTTATAAAATATAAGATACTGTACAAATATTCATTAGTATTACCATTAAACCTCTAATCATTTATAGCAACAACATAGCATTTCATTTTAAGTATTTCCAAGTTAATTCCTTCAAAATTGACTTTTCCCTGACAACTCGTTTCATTCTAGTGAAATAAATGTGTTGAATCACACTAAATGGTCAAATGAAACCAGATTCTAAAAGAACCTCACAAGACAAGCTCAAAAGCAAAGGCAGTTAATACACTCACCACTTTCAAAGCAAGCATCAAATATAAGATGTCCTTTCTTGGGCTGTCCACAGTATCCACTTGGAAACACCATATATTTGCTCACGTTCCCTCCGATGGCATCGTCATTTCCCACATCACTGCCTATTTTTTAAAAAATTGGCTCATGTTAAACAAAAATCAAAAATAACTTAGTAATATAAAATAACTTAGTAATAAATCCAATTAGATTTTTATCATTAATTTCCCTCCTCCCTCATACATTTTTTGCTAATCCAGGCAGTAAGAAATTAACTACACATTATGGTAGAATACAAAGAAAATGCATTTTGAAATCAGAAAGATACAGGATCAAATCTCATCTGTACTACATACTAATTCTCTGTGCTGCAAAGCAATCAATTTAATCCCTTTAAGCCTCAGTTTCTCTCATCCATAAAAAAGAGAATAGCAAAATCCATCTTTCAAAATCGTGCTATGAGAATTAGATATGAAAAAAATCTAGAATGACTACTGAAATCCACAAGATGTTCATTAAATTGTATCAATTATTTAATAATAATGGTAATATATTTAATTTGTCACAAATATATAGTAAATCATTTTGAATAAAGCAATAGTTCTATAACTAGCATAACTACTAATGTCCTACCAGAAATGATTTAAGAACCAATGAATTAGCACAAAAGTTATATTTCCTAACAAGAGCTTTAATTTTTAAAAGATTTATGTTTCATTTCCACATAGGATGTAGAAACCTAGAAAGTTTATTCCTTCCACCTTAACAAAAAATATCCCAGAGACTGCACTCATTCTGGCAGTCAGATGGGACTGGGCAAGACCGACAGGCAAACTCGACCTCTCAGTGACTACACAGTCCAGGCCAACTGTCTGGCCACAGGTGCCCCTGGATGAGGCCACCCTGCATGCCCCAACACTTCCCATAGGTTTATCTGTTTTATTGCTTACTACAAATACTCTTGGACTTATTTATCAATTTAAAAATATACACAGGTAGTGGATGACCTTGGCCTGCATGATATCCCCTCCCAAGAGGCACCAGAACTAATACAATAGGAGACTGGCTTCAGACCACAACAGAGTACCACCCCATTAGCCCCACAAATGGCACACCCAAAGGGTGGTCTCAGCAGGCACCAGAACCTGCTGGGAGAAGCCCATTCCATGGGGTAAGCCCCCAGCAAAGCAGTTCATATGCTATGGGCAAGTCAGCCTGATGGTCAACAGCAATCAAGACTCAACTACAGCAGAAGGGCACACACAACCCAAACAAGAATATTCCTGGAGTAAGGATATACAGAAGAAGCCACCTCAAGACTGGTAGGAGGGGATAAGACACTGAATGGGCTAGTCCTACACCCACATGTGGTGGTTAAAAATCAGGAAAAATATCTCAGCTGCAGACGTCCCCTCTGAGGAGCGAGGGGTCTCAGTTCCACACAAGGCTCCCCAGCCCAGGGTTCTAGTGCCAGGAAGTGAAATCTCTAGAACTTCTAGCACTTTAAAGCATCAGGGATTGTGGCTTACTGAAACAGAAGGCATCTGAAGTCCCAGATATTCCTCATAAAGGCCCTGCCCATGAACAGACTCACTTGCTGTAAGTTCCAGAGCTGGGGCAGCATCTGGAAAGGTGCCAGGGACAGATAGGGAGGAACTGTATTGCCTGGCTTCAAGGCAAAGGCTAGAGAGGCAGCTTTCTCCTAGACAGAAGTCCTGGCAGAATCCAGCACTTTGTTGAGTCTTCCCATCACCCAACCTGCACACACAGGTGGGCACAATATCTGAGTCTCCATCAACCTAGCTAACACTGTTTGCTCTGTCCTGGTGATTCCCTGAGAAACTCCCCACCCCAGTCCCACCCAACTTGCAGGCCTACCTAAGCCACTTTCAGTGGTCTTTCCATACAAATGGCCTGTCTTGGTTCATGCTGCAGACTTTCCTAAAATCTCTCAAAGGTTCACAAACCCCAAACAAGCAGCATATTGTCTCAGTGTACCCTGTACCTCTTGCTAAGCAGCCCCAAGCCAGGCGCTATCGGCAGTTAACCTCAGTTCACAGCTTAGCTTCTGCCAGGCACCTCCAAGACCAGCAAAAGTAGCAATCATCTGCAGATCACTTTGTAACTCATATAAGTGGTCCTGGGAAGCGGTTAAACTTGGTCTACAACAGTGCCCCTCCCAAAAGGCTCCAGAACCAATATACCTGGCGGCCAGCTTCAGAAGACACTAGTGCATCACCCAACCACCTTCACAAATAACACACAAAGGGAGGACTCGGCAGGCATCATGATAAAGTGAATCCTGCTCCAAAGGGTCAGCCCCTGCACAACAGCATCTCTACTATAGTCATGGCCAGTCCTCACAACCAATTAGCCTGAGGGAAAATCCCTCCCATTGACATGCCAACAGCAATCAAGTCTCAACTACAACAGGAGAGCACACACAAGAAACACTCCTGGAGTACCCAGCTCAGATGATCAAGAGAGAGTGCGCCCCTGGACTCCACAGAACACCTACTTCATAAGGCCACTTTACCAAGACTGAGAGATGTAGCAGGTCTACCTAAAACATAGAAACAAACATAGAGAGGCAGCCAAAAAGAGAATACAGAAAAACATGGCCCAAATGAAAGAACAAAATAAAACTTCAGAAAAAGAACTAAATAAAATGGAAGCAAGCAATCTACCAGAGACAGAGTTCAAAACACTGATTAGAAGGATGCTCAAAGAACTCTGTGAGAACTTCAACAAAGAGATACCAAGTATAAAAAAAGGACACAGAACTCATTTAAAAAGTCAGAAATGAAAAATGCAATAACTGAAATGAAGAATACATTACAGGGAAACGACATCAGATTAGATGAGTCAGAGTTTTGAATCAGTGATTTGAAAGATAAGGTAACAGAAAACAATCAATAAGAACAGCAAAAAGAAAAAGATTTTTTAATGAGGATAATTTTAGGGACCTCTGTGACAACATCATGTATGCCAACATTCACATTGTAGGGATACCAGAATGAAAAAAGAGAGCAAGGAACTGAGACTCTATTTGAAGAAATAAGGACTGAAAATTTCCCTAACCTGGCAAAGGAAATAGACATACAAGCCCAGGAAGCACAGAGAGTCCCACGTCATAATTAAAATGCCAAAGGTTAAAGACAAAGAGAGAAACTTAAAAGCAGCAAGAAAAAGGCAGCTAGTTACCTACAAGAAAGCTCCCATAAGACTGATCTCTCAAGAGAAACTCTGCAGGCCAGAAGAGATTGGCATGAAACATTCAAAGTGATACAAAGTAAGGACCTACAACCAAGACTACTCTACCCAGCACAGCTATCATTTAAAGGAGAGATAAAGAGCTTCCCAGACAAGAAAGAGCTAAAAGAGTCCATCACCATCAAATAAGTATTATAAGAAATGTTAAAGAGACTTCTTTAAGAAGGAAAAAAAGAACATAAATATGAATAATAAAATGGCAATATCTATGTACTTATCAATAATCACTTTATATGTAAATGAATGGGTTAGAAAACAAGATTTATTCATATGCTGTCTACAGGAGGCCCACTTCATATCAAAAAACACAATTGATACTTTTAGAACATTTCACCCAAAAGCAGCAAAATATATATTCCTTTTAAGAGCACATGGTCCAAGATAGACCACATGTTAGGCCACAAAACAAACCTCAATAAATTTAAGAGGATTGTGTATCTTCTCCCACCACAATAGCATGAAACTAGAAATCAATTACAAGAAAAAAACTGAAAAATACACAAACATATGGAAGCTAAATAACATGCTACTAAACAAAAACTGGGTTAACAATGAGCTCAAGGAAGAAACTGAAAGATACGTCAAATGAAAATGAAAACACAGCAATCCAAAATCTACAGGACACAGAGCAGTCTTAAGAGGGAAATTTGTAGCAATACAGGCCTACTTCAAAAAATAAGAAAAATCTCAAATAAACAATCTAACCTTACACCTTAAGGAACTAGAAAAACAAAAGCAAACAAAGCCCAAAGTGAGGAGAAGGAAATAATAAAAATCAGAGCAGAAATAAATGAAATAGAGTTTTAAAAAGCAATAAAAATATTAATAAAACCAAGAGCTGGTTCTTTAAAGGATAAATGAAATTAATAAACCTTTAACCAGATTCATCAGGAAAAACAATGAGAGAAGGCCCAAATAAATAAAATCAGAACTGAAAGAGAAGTAACTGACACCACAGAAATACAAAGGACTGTAAGAAAATACTGCAAACAATTATATGCCAACAAATTGGACAACCTAGAAGAAATGGATACATTCCTAGAAACATACAATCTTCCAAGACTGAATCAACAAGAAACAGAAAATCTGAACTGACCCATTACTACTAATAAAATCAAATCTGTAACCAAAACTCCCAACACACAAAATTTCTGCACCACATGGCTTCACAGGTGAATTTTACCAAATTTTCAAAGAAGAATTAACACCTATCCTTCACAAACTATTCCAAAAACATTCAAGAGTATGAAAAGCACCCAAGCTCATTCTACAACAGCACGATTACCCTGATTCCAAATCCAGACAAAAACATTACAAAAAAGAAAATTATAGACCAATATCCCTGATGAATATAGATGCAAAAATCCTCAACAAAATATTAGCACACTAAACTTAGCAATACATTAAATATTGGGGTTTTTTTGTTTATCTGTTGAGAGCATAGGAAATAAGATATATTTTAAATTTATCAAAAGAACAAATAGTATTTTTACATTTACAGTTTACTAAGATAAACAGTTGTGACATAATGAGAGACCAGATAGTAAAAGAAAGCAAAACACCACAAAAGATGCATATACTGACATAAAGACAGAAAGAGGGGGCAGGGAGGACTACAGCCTATAATGTTAATGCAATATAAATGGTTGATCATTTAAATACATAAGGCTGGAAATGAGAAGTTATTATTATCAAAGAAATCATATCTCGATTACATTACACATGTACATAAAACCATTCAAAATGGCGTTTACAGTAATACAAAATCATCTAAGGTGACACAGAATAATGGAATAATTATTGCTCTGGAATAAGAACTTGTAATTTCTTGACTGTGCATTTTAAAGTTCAGCACATAGCTGTTTCACCCAAATTTTGAAATCAAATTCTTTACTCTAATTTTAAAATACCTCCACATTTAGCTAAGGCAGCATGAATTAATATCAAAATTTGGATTTCAAAGTCACATAGATCTGAGGTTGAATCCACCTAACTCAGATATATATATAATGTAACCTTTTTTAAAGAAATTTAACCTAACTTCTTTGAGCCTGTTTGCTTATTTTGTTCTGAAGGTTACAGAAAATATATGTAAATCACTTAGAATATATTATTTACTCAATAAGTAGTTGGTTATTATTATTATCATCATCATTATCATTATCATCATCATTATTAAGACACCTGTATCTGGAAATTTATTTAACAAAAAGAATAAAAGATTCAATTATATAAAGTATAAGAGAGGATTCAGAAAAGGAAGGGAACAATTTAAATTGACATTCATAAAGAACGTCTTAGTGAAAGTATTTTATTTCAAGTAAACACTGAATGCTGTTATATCCAGTTAAATTATACACTATAAAACACCATTATTATAGTGTGTAAAATATTTGTTTCCAAACACAGAGACAGAGTTAAACATTGAATTTTTTCAGTTTAAGGAAGTTAGAGACAAAAGAGAAAATAAAACAACTGAGATTTATTTTTAAGGAAATAAAGATATAATCCTGTTGTTACTATTATTAACCCACAAATTCTCAGCCAAGAAAGTAAATCTAAAATTCCTAATGTAGGGTGTTTTAGGAAAGAGAATCTATTGACTGGTGGGCTCTAATCTCAATCAGCTACAGCCTACTATATAGCTTCCTCCTAGCATTTTATAAAATATGTTTGTTCTCATTAGAAATATATTTACAAGACATACTGAAAGGATGCAAAAAACAAAAACTTTTTAAAAAATAAT